AGGTATACTCAAGCCTTGTGTTAGGACCTAGGCAACTGTAATTTTAATTATTGCATCTCAGAGCTCTCAAATCATTTGGGGTGAAATAAAAATGAAGAGTCTCATTTATTACTGACATGAAGGCAGACATTTCTGGGACTTTTAATACATTTAATTAATCATTAAATTTTAAAGTAAACTTTAGTGGTTTTTTTTTTTTCCATTTCCAGCGAATATCTGTTAGGCACTGAGACACAGTGGTGAATATAATGACAGTCCCTTTTGTCACAAAGCTTATAGTGTAGAGGGAAAGATATCCCATGAGAAACCTTAATTATAAATAGGGATGCACTATTTAGAGGTAAGGAACAGAGTCTGAGATAGATAGATAGTAGCCAGTTCACCACTTGTCCTCAGTTGAGGAGATGTTATTTAGCCTGTGCCATGAAAGACAAAGTCATTCACAGTCCTACTATGACTTCTCGGGGCTCAGAACCTGCTGCCTAAGGCACTTGACCATTACTTCTGACCCTCTCCCACCTTCCCTTCTGAAGTAGGGCATAACAGAATTTCTTAACCTACCGCCCTTACATGTAGGTCAGGAGATCCTCATTCTAGGGGGTCCCGACCTGCACCTGGAGGGAAGAGGAATCTGAGAAAATGGATTTTTGCTAGGCTCTCCCAGGTCACTCCCGTTAGATCAGACCCCTTTGTCCTCCAGTGACACGTCTCCACCCCAGTCCCTAGGGATGCAGTTTTCCCTGGGTGTTTGAGTCCTCCCCCATATAAAATGTTGGTTAAATGTTCTAAGCTTTTCTCCTGGTGATGCCATTTTGTACGAAGATGTCCATCTAGAGCCCTGTGAGATGGGTGAGGAAAACATATTGTCTTCTCCCTTGCAAGGGCTTCTCTTGATTTCACTGATGTCACCCCTCCTGGCCTGCCTCCTACCCCCGGGTCCTTCTGACTTGGCCTTCCCAGGCATAAACTTCCTTTTCTGTACAGCTGTTGTGCTCTGCAGATCTCCTGGGCTACATTCTAGGCCTTCTTCTCTCCCCCGTCCAAAGTTCCTCCCAAGTATCCCAATCTACCTGTCTCACACCAGGTGTCATTGATGTCACCAATTTCTTGCTAGACTTTTCCAGCCACATCTCTTCCTAGATTCAATCCATATGCCACCTGCCTATGTGACATCTTCACCTGAATCATTCATGGGATTCAAGTTTAGTACAGCTATGGGTAAAATGAAGGTCTTCCTCTCAGGTCTTTTTCTCCTCCAGTGGACCCCATCACCCTAATTAGGATCATTCACTCAGTTGTTATATCAATAATCATGGACTCAACCATGACGCCTTCTTCTCCATTGTCTCCCTTATTTAACTGGTAATTCAGTTCTCATCTGGCTGACAGCTAAAATATACTTTGTTCTTCACCGTATTTGACCATCTCCTATGCCATCAACTCTTGCTTAGATACAGCAAGCCTTTTCGTGGTCTTACACCCATTATTACTCCCCTCCACTTCATTGCATTAAATGAAAATCTTTCCAGATTACCCTCCAGTTCTAGCTCTTCTATGGCTTTGAAAATCCAATCTAAAATCAACACAACAGCAAGATTCTGCTTAGTACCTCAGTCTTTTTTTTTAATTTTTATAAAATTTATTTGATTTATTTAAAAGACAGAGAGATACACACAGAGACAGAAAGAAAGAGCGAGAACAAGAGTGAGAGAGAGAGATTACCCCCATTCACTGGTTCACTTCCCCAATGACCAAAACACTTGGGTACAGGCCGGGCTGAAAACAGCAGCCAGGAACTTAATCCTGGTCTCCCACATGGGACACAACCCATTTGAGCCCCTCAGGGTGTGCATCAGCAAGAAACTAGAGTCAGGAACACAATCAGGGCTCAAACCCAGATACTCCAATACGGAAAGAGGGCATCTCAAGCAGCATCCATCTCAACCCCTATGCCAAACCTACTTAAATGAATTCTAGGTGCTTATACACACTGAGGGCAATCTTTATATAAGCTAATACTCTTCACCCAATACCTCAGTCTTATGTCAATCTTCACATTATTCGCGTGCTTCAGCTACAATAGACTTCTTTCCATTTCTGAAATTAATAAAGGACTTTCCTTTCTCAATTTGTAAATGCTGTTCCTTCCACTTGGAACAGCTAGGTCTCCCTGCTTTATACTTTCAAAGTACTACTTTTTCTGTGTTCCTGGCTATGACTTACACATTATTCCATGGAGATGGTTCCATCAATAATACAATTATCTCGTATCACAAAAATATTTGTAAAAAGGCAATCCCAGGGTTGGTACAACATTTTAAAATCATGATTCCAGGCCAAAACTCATTCCTTTCTCTCTGCCTTTCTGTGTATGCTCACTTTTTAACTTAGGGTCATTGCTTGTGATCAAAGGGTGGCTATGAGAGATCCATGAGTTGTGCTCTGACACCACTGTATTCAAAGTGGAAGAAACAGGGAAGACCATGCTCCTGTTGCACCTGTCACCTCTATCAGAGAGTAAAATGATTCCCTAAAGTCCTCATCACCACTCCCCTACGTCACCTTGGCCAGATCAGTGTCATATGATGACTGGAAGGGAGGTTGGTTGGATGAGTAATGGGATGAGCAAGAAGAGAAGGAAGTTGGAACTGTTGATTGTTACAGTGTAAAATTCTTCAACACACTTTGAAAAACAACAATTACATAATTAAATATTCACATTTTGCTCGGTAACTTCTCTGTGATGCCGTAAACACTGACTGTGGGGAATGTCTTCTGTATTCACTGTTATCAGCCTAGAATCAGCATAGTGCCTGTCCTACACAGATCAGTTAATGTCAGTCAAAGGAATGAATATATTAACATGAAACAGGACAAAGAAGTACTGGATGGGTACAATGGAGACACAATACTGCCAACACAAAACTTTTTCCTGATTGCCATATCTCACATCTCATAATCTGTACATCATAAAAAAGAATAGGCAATTGTTTGAAAATGTTTGGTCCATAGCCTTAGAAACTCATGACTAGAGCCTAGGGAGATTTCTGACGCCATAAACAAGAGTGTCAAATTGTTAAGTCAACAACAGGAGTCACTGTGTACTTACTCCTTATGTGGGATCTCTGTCCTTAATGTGTTGTCCAATGTGAATTAATGCTATAACTAGTACTCAAACAGTATTTTACACTTTATGTTCTGTGTGGGTGCAAACTGATGAAATCTGTACTTAATATATACTAAATCGATCTTCTGTATATAAAGAGAATTGAAAATGAATCTTGATGTGAATGGAATGGGAGAGGGAGTAGGAGATGGGAGGGGTGCGGGTGGGAGGGAAGTTGTCGGGGGGAAAAAAGCCATTGTAATCCATAAACTGTACTTTGGAAAATTATATTTACTAAATAAAAGTTTAAAAGAAAAGTGTTTGGTTCTTTATATTTGGAATGGAATTCTCCAAACCTCTTAGTTCCTGCCATAGGGGTAGACACGAATATTACTGTGTCATTGACATCCAAGAGTTAATTCTTTTTTTAAAAAATGAAATAAATGAAAAATTTTAAGCCCTGTGAAGGAGTTATATGATCCAGAAAAATGTAAATTGCCTTGGGTACATAAATGTAAATTGATTCTTAATCAGTCAAATATCCTTCAACAAGAAAAAATGACTAACAACTAGGAAGTTACTTATAAGAGTAGCCATAACATTTTTTTTTCTAAACTTCCCACTCCTGAGAAGCATGGAGCCAACAGATCAATTTGTTATTCGGATTGGCTGATTAGGGGCAAAGCAAATGCAAATGCTTGGCATACAAAGGATGCTTGATGCTGTTGTGTTTCTGTCTCCAGTCCAAACAGAAACTTGAGACGACTCCCTTGTTTCATGACCTAAATATGATTCTTTGGTTCACAAATGATATACTAATCTTACATTACCTTTCAGTTATAAATAGTCCACAAGTTAAACGTTAAGTTAGAATTATTTAAATACTAATGAATACATTCAACTCTAGACAATGTAGTAACACACCAAGGAATCGATACCGATTCATACACCTGAGAGTGACTATTTGAAGAGATGCCAAAGCCGTTCCCAGTTTCTGATGGACATTCTGTGTGGTCATGTCAAAGCACATGGGGCACAATTCAACAAATATCATTAAAACCTTTTTTCTAAGAGTTGTAAACATTCACACATTCAAGATTGGTTTTAAATATGCTTCTCATTTGAAATAAAAATCCCTTAAAGACAGAAAGTGACTTTTCCATTGGCAAAGGGAGTCCCCTAAGAAAAAAATGTAAACAGATGGCTGAGAAAGATCACCCACATGCTGAACACAGATCTTAGCGAGGCATTTCTAAGAATGAAGCAGCACTTCTCAGCTTGGGCCACTGCCCACAAAGATCCTGATTTAACCCATGGAAAACATGGAGTTTGTCTCCCTGGCCAAGAAAGACTTCAACAACTCTTTCCCACTTGCCTCACAGAAATCCAGACCATTGTCCAACACTTACCACTGTTTCCGATGAAGTTAATGACAAACTACTTGGGCCAGCCATCCCTTAATCAATCAGGGTTTCTTGATCAACCCTGAACTAACATCTTCCCACAGCAATGGGCTGTTAAGCCTGAGATAAGCACATTAAGCATCCAATTTAATGTATGACACACATCTGTTCCACTTTTCTCAGCAGAAGTTTCAAAATAACTTAAATCCCAGACTTAATCAAGGAGAAGAAAAGATCTTGGCAACATTGAAAACTGAGTTTTAAAATACAATCCCAACGAGGGTGGGAGAGACCGTTTAGCTGTAATTAATGAGATTATATAATACCAAATCCACAAATTTACCTGAGCAGGAACACTCAAACTTTCACCAAGGCCATCACCATTTACCAAAGACTTTCATGTGTACCTGGCCCAGGCCAGCAAAGCACAGGTGGGAGCAGACACCCAGATTGACCCCCTCCAACCTCAAAGACTCTAGAGGAAAACTCACAGAGTGGTCTTTCACGAGGAGAGCACAGCACTGGATTCCAGCCATCAGCATCTTGTGTGGGTTCCAGGCCACAGAATCAGCCCTGTTGTGTTAAACAAAGAAAGGGCAGAGCAGGCAGGAGACGCACTTGGTTTGTAAAGGCAGAGAGGAGACGTTCACCAGCCGCATCCCAGTGAGGATGCACATACAAGCTACTGTTCTACAGGATGCCTAGTCTGAGTGGTTGTGGGAATATGGAGAGGTTTGAGGGTTTCGTTTTGGGTTGTTGTTGTTTGTAAGCAAAACAATTGCTTTGCTTTTGCCATTTTCAAAGTACGGCTTGGATGTGCAAAATCCTAAGAGATGTCATTGCCTAAATAAAAGTCAGCTGCAAGCCAGCGCCGCGGCTCACTAGGCTAATCCTCCACCTATGGTGCCGGCACACCAGGTTCTAGTCCCAGTCGGGGTGCCGGATTCTGTCCCGGTTGGCCCTCTTCCAGGCCAGCTCTCTGCTGTGGCCCGGGAGTGCAGTGGAGGATGGCCCAAGTGCTTGGGCCCTGCACCCCATGGGAGACCAGGAGAAGCACCTGGCTCCTGCCATCGGATCAGCGCGGTGCACCGGCCAAAGCGGCCATTGGAGGGTGAACCAACGGCAAAGGAAGACCTTTCTCTCTGTCTCTCTGTCTCTCTCACTGTCCACTCTGTCTGTCAAATAAATAAATAAAAATAAATGAAAGACAGCTGCAAAGTGGGAAATTGCCTTTACCTGTGGATGCCATGCAGGAGCTTGCGATGCTTCCTGGACAGCAACGCTGAGCCACCCCAAGAAGCCTGTTGAGATATTTAAAAACAAGTTTAGTTTACCACTGTGTGTTCACAAGTGAGCTATACCAAGTGCCTTCAGTTTGTGTCGTTTGATACTTGGTTTTATATCATGTTCACCAATTGGCGTATCAGGAAATGTGGTCACTGGCAAGCAGAACTTACTCAAAACAGATGGGTCCCTAAATAATCCTTAGACGTAACGTCACTTATCACAAAGACTGACATACAGAGAGCAACTGAGCTGTGTATAGCTGAAAAGCAGTTAGACACAGCCCATGCCCTCCTGATGCTTAGGATCTAAAACAGATAACAGCTTCATCATGCTGGTGTTTGCCCTACACACTCTATGATAATGAGACCTGCGCTGAGGGTGTGCCTTCTATCTGACAAGACAGGAACATCATGGGCAAGATGGATAGAGGGCTAGCTAGGAGGGGCTACAGGGAAACATATCAATTAATGACAACATAGATCTTTGCAGCCCAATGACTTTCAGAAATATTTACAAATCAAAGGTAGAAGAAGGGAAGAGAGATAATTGGACTTCAGTATGTTACTCATCACAGAGGTAACTTTTATGAGCAAAGGAGAGGGGAGCAAAGAAAGGAGAGGGAAGAAATGATCAGTCCGTCTAGCTGGAAGGGAGGAGGAACTGATGTAGGAAATAGAAAAGAAATGGGGCTGGCATTGAGATGCAGCAGGCAAGGCTGCTCCTGCAGTGCTGGCATCCATATGGGCGCCAGTTGTGTCCTGGCTGCTCCACTTCTGACCCAGCTCCCTGCTGATGGCCTGGGAAATCAGTAGAAGATGGCCCCTGCCACCCACATGGTTCCTGGCTTCTGGCTTTGGCCTGACTCAGCCCTGGCCTTTGCAGCCATCTGGGGAGTGAACAAGCAGATGGAAGATTTTTATTCCATCTCTCTCTCTTTTCACTTGATTCTGACTACCTAATAAATACACACATCTTTGTAAAAAAAAAAAAAAAAGGAAAGTAATTTTGGTTCTTGAATATTGACAGTCCTTTAAGTTTAATATGTATTACAATGAGGCATGGCTTTGGTGAGAGAAATTGAGGCTATTTTGAATGCTCTCCAAGTATATTTAAGCCTAACAATACCCCCTTGAGAATAGAAGTCTTATTACCTCCATTTTTACAGATAAAGTTTAAAGGTTGTAGATATATTCTCCAAGGTTTGCAAGTATTAAAAATCAGATTTAGGATGTCATTTTTTATTTTTATCATGATAATGTCATGACTTAAGTAAAGTGACCATCTGGTAAAATTGGGGCGGAATTTCCAGAACTTACAAATTGGTCACTTGGGAGAATCAAGGATGATGGGGACCTATTAGACAGGAAGTGAGCTCAAGAGTTACCTGGGATATAGACAAAGGCCATGCTATTTATTTTAATTTAAAAAGAGAAGCAAATTTCAGTATCATGGACAAAGATGTGGTGAGATTGAATGTAAGGAAGATAAAAGAAATCAGACATCTGAATAATACTCAGAATATTACAAAAGACATATTCATCAGAAGGCAGTAAAGAAAAAGTACATCACGTGCCAGTTTGTGGCATTAAATTCCCTTCAAAAACAACTCTCATTCAAGGCTAGGACGGGGGTGAAGTGAGTGAATCAGTAGGGTATACAATGTAAACAATAATTCATTTTCAGAGTTGGATACTGACATAGTTTTAAGAGTGAGTGCATCTTGGTCAGCGCCGCGGCTCACTAGGCTAATCCTCTGCCTGCGGCGCCGGCACACTGGGTTCTAGTCCCGGTCGGGGCGCGGATTCTGTCCCGGTTGCCCCTCTTCCAGGCCAGCTCTCTGCTGTGGCCCGGGAGTGCAGTGGAGGATGGCCCAAGTGCTTGGGCTCTGCACCCGCATGGGAGACCTGGAGAAACACCTGGCTCTGGCTTTGGATCAGCATGGTGCGCCGGCTGCAGCGGCCATTGGGGGATGAACCAACGGAAAAAGAAGACCTTTCTCTCTGTCTCTCTCTCTCAAAAATAAATAAATAAATAAATAAATAAAAAAAAATAAAACAAGAGTGAATGCATCTTTAAAGTCTGAGCCCCATCACCCTCACTTGATTCGCCTTGGTCCCAGTCCTGAGTCCCTGGACTCCAAGAACTCCACAGAGTCCCCGAAGGCTTGTGACTCTGATGCATCGTGAGGATAGGTTAGGTTCGAATCCCAAAGATTCCTGGGTAAAGGATGGATGACTTGGAGTCCACGGTCAAACTCCCTTCTTGCTACACTCTTTCCTGCTGAGATTCACAATGGACTGTGGACAACTGTGGCTGGGCAACAGAGGCACTGTCTTCTATACCTAACAAAAGATTATTCTGTCGGGGTCACTGAGGCTCCTCAGATCCAGATTCTAACATCTTGACCCCTGCAAACATTAAGATGTATGCATTAGGTCCTTTACTGCCATTAAGCTCTCCAAATGCTAGGTTACCTATGTTTCTCAATTTTTTCACTCCCCAAACTCATTGAGAACCTGCCAGTCACAGTTAGTAAGACTCAGCCATACCCACTGACTTTCTCACCTATTCCACCTGCTTCATTCCTTACACTTCTACTACTTAAGGACTCCTGTACTCCCCTACACATTCTCCTCTGCCCCAAACAAGTGAATAATGTCCTCCACCCCTAGAGATTCAAGGTTTACAATCACATGTACTCTTTCAAGGCACTAATTCACCTGCTTACAAAGGAGTTAGGAAGAGTTAGGAATAGGTCATCCATAATTCAATCTTCCAAAGAGCTGAAAGGAGAAAAACAACACCCCAGATGTCAATCTCCTTCTTTTTATTTTACTTCTCCATTTCCAGCTCCAGAACTCGCAAAAGCATCCAACCAACCCCTTATCTGATTAAGGAACTGGATTTTCCATAGCAGTAGGGGCTGTCATTTATTAATCTTGAACTATATGCTAGGTGATATCCTTTCATGTTACACATTTTTCTCTTTTTTTAAAATTTATTTATTTGACAGATAGAGTTATAGACAGTGAGAGAGACAGAGAGAAAGGTCTTCCTTCTGTTGTTTCACTCCCCAGTGGCCACCATGGCTGGTGCTGCACCAATCTGAAGCCAGGAGCCAGGTGCTTCTTCCTGGTCTCCCATGCGGGTGCAGGGCCCAAGCACTTGGGCCATCATCCACTGCCCTCCCGGGCCACAGCAGAGAGCTGGACTGGAAGAGGAGTAACCGGGACTAGAACCCGGCATCCATATGGGATGCCAGCACCGCAGGCGGAGGATTAATCAAGTGAGCCACAGTGCTGGCCCCCACACATTTTTCTCTTTAATTGATAGTAGAACCCATGCTAAAAGGAGATGGAGGCAGGAATAGGATCAAGTTCTGGCAGTCTCTGAAGCCCAAGATATTACAGTCAACGCTTACTCCCTCTCTTGGGACCTGGATTCAAGAGTGGATGTGAGGCTAAGAGTCCTCACTGGCAATATGAGGCTTTGTAGCCATCACTGCCTTAGTTTCCAGGAAGAACTGGACCAGTCCCAACATCCTGGTCTGGGACACAGGCCATAATGGCATGTGCTCCTATGGAGGAAGAATGGTACTAGGGGCAAAATATTCTAACAAAACACATTGTGTTGCTTAAGAGTGCATTAGAGGGCTGGTGTTGTGATGCAGTGGGTAAAGCCTTTGCCAGCAACATCTGTCATCCCATACAGGTGCCAGTTCATTTTTATTTATTTATTTATTCATTGACAGGCAGAGTGGACAGAGAGAAAGAGACAGAGAGAAAGGTCTTCCTTTTTCCGTTGGTTCACCCCTCAATGGCCACTGTGGCCGGCATGCTGCTGCTGGCACGCTGTTGCCGGTGCACCGCGCTGATCTGAACCAAGAGCCAGGTGCTTCTCCTGGTCTCCCATGCGGGTGCAGGGCCCAAGCTCTTGGACCATCCTCCACTGCACTCCTGGGCCACAGCAGAGAGCTGGCCTGGAAGAGGGCCAACTGGGACAGAATCCAGCACCCCAACTGGGACTAGAACCCGTGGTGCTAGCACCGCAGGTGGAGGATTAGCCTATTGAGCCATGGCGCCAGCCCAGGTGCCAGTTCATATCCTGGCTGTTCTCCGTTTTTTTAAAAAGATTTATTTATTTATAAATCAGAGTTACACAGAGAGAGAGAGACTGGTTCACTCCCAATTGGCCATAACAGCCAGAGCTGCGCCAATCCAAAGGCAGGAGTTTCTTCCAGGTCTCCCACTTGGGTACAGGGGCCCAAGCACTTAGGCCATCTTCTACTGCTTTCCCAGGCCATAGCAGAGAGCTGGATCAGAAGTGGAACAGCCAGGTCTGAACCAGCGCCCATATGGGATACTGGCAGTGCAGGTGGCGGCTTTACCCACTATGCAACAGTGCCAGCCATTGTTCTACTTCTGATCCAGCTCCCCGCTAATGGCCTAGGAAGGCAGTGGAAGATGGTCCAATTGCTTGGGTCCCTGCTACCCACATGGGAAATCCCTGGCTCCTGCCTTCACCTTGGCCTAGCCCTGGCTATTGAGGCCATCTGGGGAGTGAACCAGCAAATGAAAGATTTCTCTCTCTCTCTCCCCTCTCCTCTCCCTCTTTCTCTCTCTGTCTCTGTCTCTCTCTATAACTCTCACTTTCAAATAAATAAATAAATCTTTTTTTAAAAAAGTACATATGCATTAAAATCTTTTTTTTAAATGTTTTTAACTTTTATTTATTAAATATAATTTTCCAAAGTACAGTTTATGGATTACAATGGCTCCCCCCCATAACTTCCCTCCCACTCACACCCCTCCCATCTCCTGCTCCCTCTCCCATTCCATTCACATCAAGATTTATTTTCAATTCTCTTTATATACAGAAGATCAATTTAGTATATATTAAGTAAAGATTTCATCAGTTTGCACCCACACAGAAATACAAAGTGTAAAATACTGTTTGAGTACTAGTTATAGCATTACTTCACATTGGACAACATATTAAGGACAGATCCCACATGAGGAGTAAGTACACAGTGACTCCTGTTGTTGACTTAACAATTTGACACTCTTGTTTATGGCATCAGTAATCTCCCTAGGCTCTAGTCATGAGTTGCCAAGGCTATGGAAGCCTTTTGAGTTTGCCGACTTCGATCTTATTCAGACAGGGTCATAGTCAAAGTGGAAGTTCTCTCCTCCCTTCAGAGAAAGGTACCTCTTTCTTTGATGACCTGTTCTTTCCACTGGGATCTCACTCACAGAGATCTTTCATTTAGGTCTTCTTTTTTTTTTTTCTTTTTTTTTGCCAGAGTGTCTTGGCTTTCCATGCCTAAAATACTCTCATGGGCTTTTCAGCCAGATCCGCATGCCTTAAGGGCTGATTCTGAGGCCAGAGTGCTGTTTAGGACATCTGCCATTCTATGAGTCTGCTGCGTATCCCGCTTCCCATGTTGGATCGTTCTTTCCCTTTTTGATTCTATCAGTTAGTGTTAGCAGACACTAGTCTTGTTTATGTGATCCCTTTGACTCTTAGACCTATCAGTGTGATCAATTGTGAACTGAAGTTGATCACTTGGACTAGTGAGATGGCATTGGTACATGCAACCTTGATGGGATTGTATTGGAATCCCCTGGCACGTTTCTAACTCCACCATTTGGGGCAAGTCCGATTAAGCATGTCCCAAGGTACCCACTAAGTAAGAAAAAATGACATTGAATTACCAATTTCAGAGATAGAGATATTAAAATATATTTTAAAATGCATCTAAGAATGAATAAAACATGATATGTGTGCAAGGTAATTTAGTTTAATGGAAAATTCAGAAGAACAAATCAGCATAATTTCATTTTTAAAAAGAGATAAAGTATCCATTTGTAATATCTTAAAGGAACTTTAAAATAGCCTTTAAAAGATTTCTAATAGGTCAAAGTAATTACAGAGGTTTTGTTCATATTTTAACTTTAAAATTAATAAACGATCACTGGTATATAAAGTTCCTTTAAGATAAGCAATGTACTCCTGTAATAAAATTTTATCAACAGATTTGATGCATGCAATGCCAATATATGGATGAATATTGTCTCCATGTTAGAGTTTATGAATTTTTAAGGGGACAGATAGGCTGATGCCTATTATGTACAAATAGAATAATTTAATGTGTTAAATTTTTTCCTTACAAAATATTTTCTTCAAAATTCCAATCTTTAATTGTTAAGAAAACTAGCGAGTTTTCCATTCCCTTATAAATTGCAGTTCTCTCTAAGCCCCCAAATCTCTTAATATCATTCCTAATTTAGAAACAGCTGTAGTTACTCTGTTTTACATAAACTACATAATCCATATTTGATGTCTCGCTTATGAGAGTAGAATGCTTAAGTATCACTGCTGATACATTTGATTTTTCCCCTTATTTCCAGAGTTATAGAAGTACTCACTTCATATTATCTGTGAGGACATAATGTATTGTTATGCTTCTAAAACGATGAAAATCAGGGAGCTATAAATTGAAACATGAACCGACACAAATACTAAAATCTCACTTAAAGAGGTCACAACCAATCTACCTGAAGTATTACCATTGGCATGCTAATAGAGCCAGGGACTCCAGAGAGTTTATGTTACTGTTGCTCTCCAAATATTAGCATCTATGTAATGAAGACCCGGAACTGCTGAAAAATCCTCTTGATAGCATATCATAGGCACTTTACTTGGAAGGGTAAAAATCATTCAAACCATAACATTGCATGTAGCTATATCTCCCTCCCAAATGCTTAGCTACCTTCTATGCAGCGTGTCTAAAAATATTTCTTCTCATAAGGAGGAACGGAACCATTTGCCCACCAGAGCAAGTTCCCTAACATCTCAGCAAGTTCAACTGCCCCTTTTCTTTGGTAGAATCAAACTAATTAGCTCCTGACTTCACAAAACAAGAAAGAAAAGAGAAAGGAAAAAAAACCAAAGAGCACAACAACCATTCAAGACTGGCTGAATTCAGAGTTTTAATTCCAGATAAGTAGAACGTTAAAAATTATATTTAAGGAAAAATGGATGACGAATAACCCCAGGACTTACAAAATTAATGAGAAAAGAATCCAACATACAATCCTTAAGTTAGAAAATTATGAAGAATATGAGTTATACCAATCCCTCTCAAGTAATTATCTATGACAGATACAGACAAAACCTACTCTAATTGGAGCATGCAATCATGCAGGTGGCTTTTGCATTTCTAGCTGATTGAGATCATATAATTTTAGAGCTAGAAGATACTTTACAGACCACATTCGCCAACCTCTTTTTTACCAGTGAAGACCCCTGAGGGACTTGGCTAACGATGAAGAGGCAGAGAATCCAAAAATCACAGCCTCTGGGTTACATACCACAAATGTGTCTCTTGTACCACGCCACCACAAAGATGATAGATTCCAGAGGGAAAAAAGGAGATGATTCACGGGAAACAAGAAAATGCAAATGAATCCAGGAAACCAAATCAACATTTACATGGTGTCTTGGAATCTTCTTTATGCCTTACAGGAAATGGTGTGCTTACTTCTCCCATATTAGAAAGAAAGAATAGTAGTAGTGTCCTCACATCTAGCTCCTCAGAGTATGGAAAGCTCTCTACCGAAGCTACGGAGAGACCAGACAAACACACATGTACACACAGATGACTTACATCTACATGAAGCCAGAGGCCGTGTCTCTCACAGATGTCAGCTATTTCATCCAGAGGATCGAAGGCTCCCAGCACGGTTGTGCCAGAGGTGGCACAGACCAGAAATGGTGCTGCCCCCTGTGAGAGGGATCCACAGACAAAGAAAATTGTCATTGTCACCATGAGATTTGCCCCGCAGTAGGTTGGTCGACATACAGGGTTATGCATTCAGAGACTTCTTTGGTTCCTTTGGAGATAATAATCAATTCAATGGGCATTTTTAAGCTTCTCTACTATGTGGGCACTTATCATCAAAAACAGCTAAGGAGAAAGAAAATGCTATGAAAACAGTCCCTTGTGTTCTGTCCTGCAAACTTCCCTGCAAAGTCACATTCTCTGTGATTCCTAGTGCTTTCCTGGGGAAACACATCAGGTCTTCAGAGTGCCAGTGTCGTCAGCCTTCTGTAGAATAGAAAGGAATGGGATGGCAAGACCCACACCCAGCACTGACGATAAAGCCTGCACGCGCTTCTGCTGATCGCCTTGCAGTGTAAGTAAAATTATTAAACAAAGGTGATGAACAGGTTCAAATTCAGCACCATTTGAACAGAAAGGACAAGGCCATCTCAGCGGGATACATTCTCCAAAATAGAGACAACAGAGAAAGTCATTGAAATGTGCTGGAAGAGAGAACCTGTAGCACTTTCACCATGACTGTTTCTCCTTGTGCAGCGGATGGCTACATCTTTAGCAGACGCCAGTGGGAGTAGGGGAGGGAGAATGCAGGGACACACACAGAAATGAATGGAAGTCCTAGTCAAGGTAGCCAGGCATTTTGGCCCCTTTCGCGGACTTTCTGCTAACCAGGTAGAAGAAAAGTTTACCAGGTTGCTTCTAAATAGATGGATCCCAGCATGATGGCAGATCATGTTTCTCACTATGGAGTTGCCAGGCAGGGAAAACTTGCAGGCAAATATGGGATTATGGGAAACAGAATCTTCAGGTTCTAGAACAGCCAAGGAAAAAGCAAAAAGAATGTTGACTCCTGGTAAATGTCACTTTCCCTCCACTGAGCACGGAGCTGTATTCTTCCTCTCAGTGTTATGAAGTAGTCCATTGTCCCTGCAATGTACTTTTATGTCCTTTAATCTCAGCACTTGCTGTGTTTGAACCAAACTCATTCCATGTAGCTAACCTTGGACAGAAAGATGTTATTTCCCAATGGGAACTGGGGCAGAGACAGCAAGCTAGGTCGATATGGCTAAACTGAGATGTGCAAGAATGAAAAGGAAGGTACCTAATTATTCTATTTGCCATGGTGGAAGACGGTTGTGGTGCATGGCATCCAGTCTACCTAAACCTCTGAGCACCAGGCCAGCAGGTGAGAAAGCCCGGAGGGAACCATGGGCTTTTGAAATCCTTCCCTGTACTCAACTACCTCAAGACACCAGAGTGTGTCTTTATTGTGTTGGTGACCTAAGTGAAATGAGACCAGATTTGCATCAATCATTAAAAGCAATAGAAAAAGTAATTTACTAGAGCCATTTATGATGTCTTTAATGGCTGGGCTTTTCCTCATAAACTATATGACATCCTGACAGTGGTGAGAAAATACCTGTGCAAGCTATTGTAGCCTATTAATGAGTTTTCCTCACCTTTAAAAAAAAATCTCACTATAAATATCAGGCGCAGAAATTAAAGTCTTGCAATCTGGATTTGACCTTTCAGATGTTTTTGTCCCTATATTTCCTGCTGTTAATGAGAAAATTCAGCAGAAACAGTATTGATTGCAAGCTGCCAATGAGCTATGTTCTCTAAGTTTATTTCAAACAGGCACAAGATATGCAGTGGTCACTGTAGGCTGGCCTTGTCGTAAGTACTTTAGAAACATGATCTTTCTGGCTGCCATGATCTCTGTAATGGTCAAGTAAAGGTCACTGCTCAACAGGTTTTTAATGGGATTCTGCTGGTCAAGGAGTTGGATCACAGCAGGGAAAACACAACTTAATGTACTATCCATTACATCTGAAACAATGTGAGTGAAAAACTTGTTTGAAAACAACTGAGTTTGGAGCTATGGAGAAAGACAAACTCTTCCTTACGTACTATGATTTCACAGTGGATGCCAGGCTGGTCCCAGGTGAATCCGGGTTCAAGTGTTAGCTGACTTGAAAGGGAACTGAGGAGTCACAGCCATTCTAACCTCATTGCTCTACTTTCAAATGGGCCTATGGCAATTTTCATTTTTTTACAAACAATATTTTTCAAGTTCTCAACTCTAGGATTATTTCAGTGTTGTGTATTTTCATTGTCAAAGCAAACAAAATGTGAGTAATGGAAATAATAATGACTAGAATAAAATCCACTATGCTAGAAACATGAATTCTTAATGATACCTAAGGAAATGGGGGTCCTCTTTAAGGGATACGAGGCAACTCACTCACTGTTTTGAAAATTGGTAAATGAAGGGAAAGACAATAGCACTTATCTGGTCTTGTCTATACACACTGTTTCCTTAGGAAAATCAAATAGGGATGAAGGAACATTTTTCTTTAGAGGAGAATGCCTGCCAGGAAATAAGGAAGGAATGGGAGAATGAATTAGAACACCCCTTCACCAAATAATAGGTCTAGACAATGGTTATCAATGGTAGCAAAATCCGTGAGGTGAGAATGGCAGGGGGCTTTACATGGAGAGTCCAACAACCCTGCCTCATCAATCAATGCTATCACTAAAAGTGGCACAGATGTCTTGTGATGGCAGAACAAAATCCCATGAAACTTGCCTGGCAAAAAGCCCAACTTCAATCTCATTGAGTTAAAATCTAACTGTACGTTCCAGGAAATACAGAGACTAAACAGAACAGTGTGGAGGAGGGGAGCAGGCTGATTCTCCAATTCTTGATGTAATCTACAAAATCCACCACGTGGACAACTCTCCAGGACAAAGGACTTGATTTTGAAATCTTTACTTAATATATACTGAATCTATCTTCTGTATATAAAGACAATTGAAAATGAATCTTGATGTGAATGGAATGGGAGAGGGAGCGAGAGATGGGAGGGGTGCGAGTGGGAGGGAAATTATGGGGGGGGGGAAGCCAAGGTAATCCATAAACTGTATTTGGAAATTTATATTTACTAAATAAAAAAATTAAAAAATAAAATAAAATCATCATGTCAAAAAAAGAAAAAAAAAGGACTTGATTTATTCAACAAGTCAATTGGGGGTGGAGAGAATAGAAGGAGGGGGCTATCGATTAGAAAATATTTATGTGACATGTCAATCAAATGCAACATGTGGGACATTGTTTGAATCCTTGTTCAAACAAACCAGATATTTATAAAAAGATGATGTGAGAAATTATAATACAGCTGCAATATTTGATGATATTGATAAACCTTTCTCTTTAAATATAATCATGGCTTTTTTTGGAAGAAACAATATCTGTTACAGAAATACTCAACTCTGTGTAGATGAAATGAGATGATGTCTAGAATTTGCTGCAGACTAATCTAGGGTGGTAGAAGCAGGTGGTGTGTAGATAAAACAAAAAAGGCGCATGAGCTAGTGGTTACTGAAGTCGCACAGCGGGTATATGGGGGCTCATTATATTAATTTTGTATAGACTAGAAGTTTTCCATCATGAAAAGTTAAAAATCCAAGAAAGAAAGAAAGAAAGATGGTGATGGGGTAGGGAGAAAGGGGAAGGGACGGCAGAGCGGGAGGGAAGAAAGAAGGAAGGAACCTCAGGACCCATGCAGGAACCACAATCACTCAGACAAGCATTCATGACTTAATGAAAGTCTGTTTCAATAGCAACTTGCACAGAAAAAGATGAAGTTAAAGAAAGCAATACCTGTGGTTAACAACAGAACAAACTCCTCATAAGGTTATGTAAATTTTACCCAAGAGCTAAAAAAATCTGATCATCTAAAACATGAGATTACTCTCAAATCCACTTGTAATCTGAATGTTTAAAAATAAATAATTAAATGCAGATCAAAAGACACACACCTGAAGCCAAGACCTATGCAGTAATGACAGAATTTTGAAGTACAAAATTTCTAATCACATACAATGATCTAACATACCCCAGGACAAGGGGATTTTCATGAAAATGCCAAAAAAAGGTGAAAAATATAATGATAAAAATAAAATTTTAAGACTCATAATTTTTAAGGAGCCCATTTTTCTCATAGTGTGAGCTCCTAGGGGGTTAGGTGTGTTCACACCCAGCTCAGAAGCTGGGCTTTTCCCTCATCAGCAGTCATGGCTGGATTGGGTGCTAACTTTTGGAAAGTTACTGGAGAATGGTATGACACTCCAACAAGAGTACAGGCAATGGTGTGATAGGAGGGAAACAACAAAGTAGGTACACCAAAATCCAGTAGGCTTTTGGTCCAAGAAGTAAAAGGACTGGCATGAAATAATGACCCACCTTTTAACAAAGCAGGTACCAGGACAGCCTTGGTTGGATTACAGCAGGTGACCATGGCCATGCCTTGCTCTCTCCAACAGTGGACCTGTGGCTTTAATATACTCTAGCAGCTACAGAACAGGGGACATTCTGCCCCTGAAATACTCAGCAGAGACCCAATATGCGGTGACCGTAAAAGATAGACTTAGTGTTGGGAGCAACTGGGGAAGACAGGTTGGCCAAGAAATCAGGAACTGTCTTAAATGCTGCCCAGAGACGAGGGGTTTGGCCTGCAGAGTTTTTTCAATAGGAAGAGTTAAGCAGGGGAGTGGGCCCTCCTGGGGAGGAGAGGTACATCCTTAGGGCTCACTTTAGCCCTGAGAGGAGGGTTCCTGAATACGATGATGTCAGTGTCTTAATAGGCTCCCGCCACCTGGGAATGAGAACATCCGAGAAACTCCACAAAACATGGAGAGCCATGCACCTGGAAATAGACCATCTGGAAATGAGTTTCCCTATTGTGATTCTAATGGGCTCTCTTCTCTCTCCCACACACAGAAGCAGGTTGACTGCCTGCTTCTCTCTCACATACCCAGACGTGCACATATGTTTTTGTCTCCCTCTCTTTTTCCCTTTCTCCCCTCTCACCTCTTCTCTGGCTTGCCAGACTTGCTTCTCCAGTTCTGCAGGTATCATTTTACCTCTGAGGGACACAGAATTGAGACTTTGAGTTATGTTTAGTAGTTAACAGACAGTAGTACTGCTTTGTAAACAGTGTGCATTTTCCCTGCCCCCCACTAGGCTTCTGGATCCTACCCCCTTTACCTTCCATCTGTTTCCACAAAGCACACGTTCTCAGCACCAATCCCAAGAAAGGAGGCTGCCTTCTTCATGGAGTAATGACTCTGATTTAAAAAGGGCAGGGGAAAAGCAAAGGAAGTGAGCACACAGCCAATAAAAGTGTTGCTTATTATCTCAATGACTGTATGTCACTATGCCCGAGCACTGCCATCGTTGGAAAGTTGCTTCATAAAAAAAAAAAAAAAAAAAAAAAAAAAAAAAAAAAAAAGAGTAATATCATTGAGATCCTTAGTAGAGAGGTTGAGACTTTGAGATCAAAGTAACCAGAATTTAACTCCATGTTCTCCAAGTTATAGCTATAGGAGGTTGAAAAATTCATGTACATTTCTTAAGCCTCAATTTGCTAGTTTATAAAGCAGTGATGTAAATACTGCCTACTCCATCTGCTTGATAAAGACTGAAATGGGTTAATACATGCAAAAGGCTTAATATGGTGCCTAGCATATGGAACAAACTATTGGTTTTCATTTTTCTTTTCTTTTCTTTTTTTTTTTTTTTTTTGACAGGCAGAGTGGATAGTGAGAGAGAGAGAGAGACAGAGAGAAAAGTCTTCCTTTGCCGTTGGTTCACCCTCCAATGGCCTCCGTGGCTGGCGCACCACGCTGATCCGAAGCCAGGAGCCAGGCGCTTCTTCTGATCTCCCATGCGGGTGCAGGGCCCAAGGACTCGGGCCATCCTCCACTGCACTCCCGGGCCACAGCAGAGAGCTGGCCTGGAAGAGGAGCAACCAGGACAGAATCCAGCGCCCCAACCGGGACTAGAACCCGGTGTGCTGGCACCGCAAGGCGGAGGATTAGCCTATTGAGCCGCGGTGCCGGCCACTATTGGTTTTCATACCATTGAGAGAAGAGTTTCCTCTTGATGCTACTAACGGGGCTCAGTATTGATGGAAACTTAAGATCTACTCCACTGAAGACTTGAAACCCTCCAGGAGACAGCAAAGCTCTATCGCACAGATTGCAATCACAGACTAGAAAAGAATTGAATTATTTCCAAGAACAAACAATGGGTTATAAATGCTGATCAGACACTTGACCAACCTTGTTAAATACTGAATGCAAAGCTGAAATTACACACACAGGGGTATGGCTAGGATCATAACAAAAATAACAGTAATTTATAGACAAGCTACTTTCTTGGCTGTGACATGAATGGGGCTAATTGATGGCTCTGAAAGTAGGTGTTTCTCCTTCCTATTGGCAAACAATTATAGGTGCTTTGGGTTCTTGGGCCTTTCTCCTCCAACTGCATGAAATCTATAAAATAATTAGCATTCAAACATTGGAGATGTAATTCTTTATATATTCGTGCAGACAGGTGGTCAATTAATTCTTTGTCATGCCAGAAAAATGAAGGTACTAAAGGACATTATTGTACCAAAAAAAAAAACCCAAGTAATTTAATTTGTAGGTATGAATACATTAAAAGAGCAGTCATGCCTTCACATTTAACTTGATATATTCCCTCAAATGTGGTAATTTTTTCCTTCTTTTGTCACGAGAGTTTTATTGGGAGCTCTCCTTTTTAACACTATAAAAATAAATGCAGAAGTAACAGCATCAGGAAAAATGAAGCAATCCTAAGTAATTAATTTCCAAATATCAAATATGACACAGCCAAAAATGCCTGTAGGATGCAGTTATTTCCGGTTGTTACAAGAACATATGCATATTGAAGAGTAATAATGTACATGAAAATGTAATTAATTCTCTACCTGCTACATCAGCACAGGCTGGTTGGAGGTAACATGTCTGGCATAGCTAAGGTGGCATAGCTATGGTGAGTTATTTCTCACAAGAGAGTTGGGCCCTGGCAACCAAACAGCTATTGATTTCATGATGATAAATGCAGCCTTTCTACGGAGATCTGCCTATAAGGAAAAATCGCTGTGCTCTACCCCTGAGAAATAGCAAAGTATCTCCCACCAAGGATGTGCTAAATAAAGACCTTGTCATCAGAGAAAGAGTAGCTCTGGCAGTGTTATCTTGAAGGACCTCAGTACAGCCCGATGTCA